GGCGTAATCATCTTAATTACACTATCGGTGCATAAATTGCTATTATTTGTAATTATACTACAGGGAGTTGAGAATATAAGCACTTTTTAAAAATTACTTTTTAATTTAATTCTTAATGTTTAATAAAAATATTTTATTTTGTTTCAGGTAAAATTTGCCATGCATTCATTGGAGTCTTGTACTAACGTAAGAAAATAAATCCTAAATACTTATTATGAAAAAGTTTGACTAATCTGTTATTTGCAGTACTGTACTGTAGCCATATTTTTTTTCAGAACGTGTAGTTCTTAACAGGTTTTTTTGTATGTTCGGTACAAATTTGTACTCCCGAAAAGCTAGAGACCTAAAACATAAATCAGAACTGTATGACAATAAATAATGAATAATGAAAGTTAAATGACGTCATAATAAATATGGAGGGCTTCTTAAGATGGCGGATAACCTATCTATTTATTCACAACCTTCTTGGTCATGGGTATGAAATGAAATGGTTTGATGACTAAAAAACGCTGTACTTAATCCAATATGGTGGCCACCCCAAGATTACCTATTTCTTTACAACCTTGATATAGGTATTAATTAAAAGTTTTTTGAGCAGAATACTTTTTTTAGATTTGCCAAATATTTAATAATAAGTAATAATTTTTGTCGAATTATAAATATTACTGCGAGATTTATACTTCAGTTGGTAGGTCAAAATGTCAACATAACCTCACTTTTAAACGCAAATAATGTATCACAGAATTATAAGCCTATAATATCTAATATATAACTAACCTGCAGTATTGTTGTTAAAGTGTATACCTAATATTTCGCTGGGTCTACAGTCCCGATGTGGGACTGGCGTCATAATTTTACGATTTAATGTAATGCTTACGATAAAACTACAAACCAACCAACCCAACCCAACATTTTTCAACAATGGAATATCCATTTAATTACATATTATATTATTTTACCGTATCAAAACGATGACAAGGAAAGATAAATAATCTAAAATAATAATGTAAAATTTAATATAAATGTCACATTGTATTATTTCAAGATGTAAATTTATAAAATAAAAATAAAAAAGTTAAGGAGCCTCCAAGTATCGAACCCGGTACCTCGCGAGCGCCCTACGATCTAAGCTGCCCAGCTTAATATCAATTTTATAACGCTCGGGGATTAACAGTGTGTGACGTTAAATTATGACGTCATTTGGGATCGAAATTAAGTCGCACATCTGGACTAGACACAACGATAATATTTGCACAATTTCTGATAAATGTTCTTAAATAGACATTATAGACCAGGCGGAGAAAGCACAAATTATCGCCAAGCATATATTTGTGTGCGTGGCAATTAATCTTAAAAAATGATGATTTATTATGCTCACTGACGTTTTCAATAATAGCTTTGTTCGCGGAGCTCATCCGTGATCAATCCGCGACAACTTCGCATGCGCACTGGCAATTTTAGCGTTCGCGGTGTAAAAATCGGCAACATTTGACATTTGATCACTCGTTCGCGGAGCCTTCGGGACCAGTTTCGAACTAATTACTGACAAGTCAAAACGATCCGAGGATTTTAGCATGTACTAGCTGTCAGACATGCGTATTGTTCATTATTGTTTAAAGTTTATTTTAGGTTATATGTTCTATATTGTTTTTAATTAAATTGTTAAACGAAAACGTAAGTTGAAATACTTATTTTTTACTTGCATTGTTCATTTCCTTGCTTATTTTATAGAAGAGTGATCATCTATCATCCAGTGATGAAGATTTAGAAAATAGTTTAGATTTAATTAAAGTTCCTAAAAATACTGCATATTTTGAAGAAATTGTTTCCATGTTCGATGATCAGCTATTTAGGGAGCATTTTCGAGTTAGCAAAGAGATTGTTGATGATTTAGCAGAGCGATTTAGCAATTCTGAATACTAATTAATTATCAGGAAGGAGATTCCCCAAAAAGTTTTGTCACAAAACAGCTGACTGATGGTTGCGGTTAGAAACGCGTTCGCGGAGATTTGTTAATTCTTGATCGGTTCCGAATCGCGCATGCGTACCATGGTTCGTGATTATTTACCCTATACAGATACGGAACTAGTCATGGATGGGCTCCGCGAACAAAGCTAATAATGACATATCGTGTTGCCAAATTTGTAAAAAAATCCCCCATGTATTTGCGTATCGTAATAAGATATTATGTAACGCAAATACCTGTCATAATGTTGCTTACCCACACGTATAAAAAGATATATTATTAAATATGCATTTAGTAACTTTTTTTATTAGTGAAAAGCGTTTTATAATAAAATATTAGTTGATTTAAAAAAATAAATTGTTCTATGATTTAACATCCTTTAAACAATAATTTTTTACGAAAATTATAATAATTATTATAAGCCAGTGTTGATTAAAGCAAAATAGCCAATTGTCAGTAAAAGTTTCCAGGCTGTACCAAATTGTCCACAAATTAATAAACACTAGATATTTTAAACCCTTGAATCCTGGAATTTTCAACCAGATTTAATGGATTTAAAACAACATCGTTTATTTAAAAATAATTCATTTTGCAAAATGTAATTATTTTATGATTTTTGTTACTTCCACTCTTAAAACTTCCATGTTCCCTTGATAATTAACTTTTCTTTAAAATACACATATTTACAAGCTGTGACTATGACGTTTTATACAATCACCCATAATATAACAAGTGGTATGATTATCATCGATGATATTTTCGAATTGAAACCGTGCTGCAGATTTCACGAGTCCGCAGGACGAGTGAAATGTGCTGCTTCGGTTTCAATAAGTAAATATCATCGATAATTAATCATACCACCAATTATATATAGTGAGAAAATATAATGAATTTTAGAATTTAACAAATTGTCAGTTTGACATTTAAAATTGAAATGCGCTTTAAAATATAAAAAGACTTTAATAAACCTTATTTATTCAAACTTACCTTAATTTTATTATCGTTTACACCAACCCATCGATCTTTTAGAGCAGTATTTAAATGTCAACAAATGTCAATTCAAGAAAAGTGTCAAAATCCTTAACAAGGTGATATAAAATATTGTCGCTGTGATGAAATGCGTAACTATGGAATACTGGCATTTTATTGGTTCTATTATAATGAATTGTATTATCGTCAAAATAAAGTGTTCTTCTTGTGGATAAATGAGGAACATATTTTATTATCTCAATACAAAAATACCAAATTATTAAATAGGTTCTTAATGCCGATTTTAAAAAGTTTGTACTTTTGTTTTTTTGTTTACTTACCTTTTGATTTCGCCGGCAGCAAACTGAAAGTCGCCGATGCCACAGCTTTAATAATTTCTAAACCGTCAAAATTGTTCAAACTTTTTAAAACTACCCAAAATGTTTTCAGATAAAAACAAAAACCCCTTAAATTTTATCTTTTTAAGCTCTAAAAAAGTTTTGGATTTTATGTTTATTTTGTGGTTTTAGCAGTATCGTCATGTTATTTTCGGAATTTAATTGATTTTAGGAGATTAGTTTTTTAAATATTTATTACTTTACTTTCATTTTGTTTAAAAATACCTATACTATTTTTAGAAACATCAGTATAATTTAAAGTTCATTCATGCGAATTTTTGTTTTAAATTAATTTGAAACACATACTGCACAAGTTGCATGTAGCATCTGCTTTGAAAACAAAAACATTAGCAACGGTGCTAACTTTTAATTCACGATTCGATAAAATATATGGTTTATAACAAATTGTCGCAGATTGTCTCGGTTGGGTTCAAAATAAAGTCATAATGAAAAAGGGGTCTGGGCTGTACCATGTTGTTTCTAGAATAATAAGAAAAATTTCATCTTTTCAAAGATAAGACAAACAAACCATAAAATTTGCTGGGACAGGCGCGCTTACAGTCGTTTTAGACTCGTGTTCCTGCAGCAAATATCAAGGGTTAACTTTTCGGGATAACCACAATTTCAGGAAATTGAATGCATTCCATGGAACATATCTAAAGTAAGTTTTTTGACTATAAATTGTGTCTAAATGTTTAAGAAGGGTAATGCCCTATACAGGGTGTCCGGAAAAAATACCGATAAACTTTCAGGAGTGGTTAAGGACATCAAAACAAACAGACCTTTCTCATTAAAAATATGTGTAAAGACTAAAACTTTTTAGATAATCTCAAAAAAATCTAGTGATCTTAATTCTGGTAATTGCGCTGGCCAGGCTACCCCAGTTTAACCCAAACATACAGGGTTTTTGGAAATAACGTTAATATATTTTGGGGGGTAATTCTACACGTAAAAATAAAAGAAAAAGTTGCTATAAACAGATGTCCGGCTACTCGGGAAAAACTTTTTTTTGGAGTTTTGTCTCTATCTTGAAATACAATTCTCCAGATAAGTTTAAAAAAAAAACGCTATTAAAAATTTCTCGCCTTAAAAATTCAAAAAATTTAGTTATTAAACACAATAAATGAACTACAACATTAACGCAATTTGTTTCCAATTTTCAAAAACTATTATTTTAGTAAATGTTAAAAATGACCGCCGTTCTTTTCTACACATCTCCTGACGCTTTTTTCATATATCTTCTAATGTTTTTAAAAAATCCAGGGTTATTTCTTATGGATTCAAAAGCATTTACAACCCGTGTCATTTATTTCTCAATGTGCATACACTAAATCTCCCCACACACAGAAGTCGAGTGGATTTAATTATGGAGAACGAAGCCGCGGAATTGTCCCCTTTGTCCTATCCATCAGGCAGCGTAAACCTAATCTAAATGTGTCCGCAGAAAAATGGGGTGGGACCTATCGAAAAATCGCCTTTTATTCCTGCCCAAACTTTGTTATAAAATATTCATCAGCCCATGCATGACTATTTTGAAAATTAATAATTCCATCTCTATTGAATCCGGCTTTGTTGGTAAATATATTTTTTATAAGTTCATGTCATTTTATTCTTAACCAGTTACATAATTCTTGTGGAAAATGTAAGCAGTTGTTCAGGCATTATTCCTATGTGTTGTTTGGAACGTCATCTTGCGTAGCAATTCTTCTAGTACTTGTCCCAGAATTAGCGGCACCAACTTCCAGCACCGATTTCCACTGATTTCTCCCGCAATCACCTTTGTTTACACTAAAAGTGCCAGTTTTACACAGTATTTGATGTAAACTGGTAAACGTCCATTCACATGGGGGTGTACCCGGGAATGCTTCTTGGTACAATCTTTGAGCTTCGCGACTATTACCATTGGCCTTACCGTACATAAATGAGTGTTGGCTTGGAAATTATAATTTTTGTTAAAAATTACAGTCCTATATATCTATTATTATAATTTATTCTGATTTATGTTATGACAAACGATTTGACAAATGTCACCACCGACAAAATAACGATAAAGAAATGTTCTAATTTACGTGCACCCGTTTTTAAATGACATTTAGCGGATTTATTTGGCGAAAAATTGAAATTAAGGGCCAGTACTTATCGATGACTTTTTGCCAAAGTATCGCAAGCAACATAACTTAAATTTCGCGAATTGAAAACATTTTTTATTTTTAAGTCTGTTTTAAATCATATATAACCTATAGGTTTTATAACAAGCAAATAGCTATAATTATAAGCTATTTACTTGTTATAAAACTTTTAGGCTATATTTAATTTAAAACAGACTTTAAGACAAAACATGTTTTTAATTCCCGAAATTTGAGTTATGTTGCTTGCCGATACTTTGGCAGAAAGTCATCGTTATATTCATTTCACTAAATTTACCTATAGGTACCTATGACAATTAAGCATTATAATGCTTAATTGTCATAGTTACAATTATGTCCTTTTAGTTCTGGTTTTAATATTTTTTTGTTTTCCTTTTCTTTTTTTTCGTTCTTCGTAGTAAATAAAGTCATAACAGTAGAACAATATTCACATAACGAACTTAATTACTCCGTTGTATAATCATAATTAAAAAAAAAATTAAAAGCATTGAAAATAAATTATCTTAAAATAACGTTAGGCGTCAAAAACGGATGTGTAGTGACGGATGAGTTAAAATTATTTTATCTATTTTGCGTTCATAATGACTTCATTGTTTCGGTGCTGTAATGAGGTACTTTACCCCACCCAAAATTTTGATTTTATACGTTGGCTACTTTAAACAGTATACTAGTAAAGTAATATTTTGCATATTGGTTATAATATTTTTATGATTTTTCTAGTACTTTCGAGAATAAATTTTGTGTGACACCAAAAAAAATCCTTTTTTTATTCTTTAACATTAACAGCCGCTTATTGTAAATAAGTTAATTAAGGACGCCATGGCGAATCGATTTTGACATTAACCCTTCAAACCAACTATCTTAAGTAAAATTCGACCAAATTAAGTATAAGGTATTAATTTTTTTTTATAGAATTTTTGCAAATAGATAAAATAGCATAAAGAACTTATGTCATAAGACCTTTGTTGCTCGTTTTATAAATTGTCCTCGTGCGACAGAATGTCGAACAAAGTTGAAACTTGACGGACCGATGAAATCTCATAATTTTCGAATTATAATTGGACCAATAAGAGCGCTTCCGAATGATCGGACTAACGGACAAACGAATACATGAAAATTGAGCTTAATTCGCTTTATATTTTTTTTTTTGTGAGACATTTTTAATAGCGTTTTTTCCGAAATGACCATGACTTTGTAACAAGAAAATTATTGTAAGAATTGTATTCCAAGATAAAGAATTAAAAAAAACACAAAAAAAATATGAGGATTTTTTCCCTGCCTATGGTACACATTTATCCGATTTAACACCACGAGATGATTTCTTACCTAAAAAATACCCCATAAATAAATCATTATTTTCGCACTAACCCTTAAAAACCTGATTTTGCGAAACAGTTTAAAACGCCTATAGCGCCCCCATGAGGCATTTTCGGACATCTGTTTATAGCAACAAATATATTAACGTTATTTCCGGACACCATATAGGACCTAGGGCCTAGGTTAATATGAAATATTTGCAAAAAAAGTTATTTTGTATTGTTTTGTATACTTGCAAAAATTAAATCACTTAATTTTGTTATTTTACACTGATAAAAATTATGGTAAAATTACATATTTTTTTAGATATGTATATTTTTACGTTTTTTTTACAAAAAGAATGTAAAAATAAAGTAGCTTCATATACAAATGTGTATATTTAAGAAAAATAATGTGCTTTTAATTTCTTTTTGTAATTATTCATTTATTAGGTAATTACCTAATTATAATTATACATTTAATTTATGTAATAGTACAATTATTTTAAATATAAATATGTGGGTATACACTGAAAAAAAAAATCATGTAAATTTCCGGTAATGGAGATTGGTTATTTTGATGCCTTGTTGATAACTGAAATATTCCATTTCAATATTATTTTACATGCAAAATGTAATAGCATAATTAACGTGTAACTCATTTATATTTTTATGTAAAATAACATTTTTAATGTAATATGTTTTTTATAGGAATAGTACATTCTGTAACAAGTTTGGAATACAGCATATTCCGCTCGAGGAAAAATTTGACACACGAGCCAAAGGCGAGTGTGACGGTTTTACGAGAGTGGAATATGCTATTCCAAACGTGTTTCAGACATTATTTTCTCTACGACTACGTAAGAATAGTAACGCTCAATAAGCGTCACTTATATAATTTTAAACAGAGAAAAGAAACCAAGCAGTTTTTGACATTTAAGTTTTTTGTATTGTCAAACCATTTTGTGCCGTCACAATTTTATAATGTAAATTATAATAAATTTAAACAAATGGTATGCCTAAATCTTTATTATAATTAAAAATAGTTATTTACACTAACTAATAAAAAAAATAACATTGTAACAAATACAAAACTAATTTTACAAGTAATCTATGTCAACATCTATTCTTTTTCTACATTTTAAAGGTCTTTTTTTAAACTTTTTGAATCTGTCAAAACCTCAAAGCCGGTATAGTAGGTAACTGGTTTATCATTTTAATATCAAATTTATTATAATTTTGATTTGTATATTTGAAAAACAATAAATATAACTAATTTTTTGTGCCTAAACCTTAATTATACAACTGCTATTATTTTTTAATTAATAAATAATACAGTAACATTTAAATATTTTTAATTTTTTTACGTTTAGTAAACAGCCAGGAGATGTCGTTACTTGTGACCATTCTTAAACAAGAGTAGGAATATTCTCGCACAGTATTGCAGAAAAACATCCTTTCTATGATCAAAAATTATAATAAAATATAATAAATGTATACACTAGAATGTTACTATTCTTAAGTAGTCGTAGAGAAATGTATTTTTTTAACATTAACATACCGATGCGTGGGCAGGCATGCGCGAATTCCCAGCCAATAGGCTTCTTCTCCGGTTACATATGAAATGTAATTTTGCGATTTTTACTACACTCCGAATGTAAAAAAACTTTTAAACCTGTAATATTAAGACCAATAAAGTATATTTACATTTGAAATAATGCAGTAAGAAGTTATAATTGTATTTTTTACATTTCATTCGTTAAATTTACTTGTTGTATCAATAATTAATACATAACATTAGTCATTTTACAAACAAAAATGTTTATTTACTTATATAAAAATTAGACGAAAATAAAGGTACCCACAACATTATATAAGTAAGTAATAACAATTGCAAAACCCTTCATTTAAAATTCCTTCATGGTACATCCAAAAATTACCACCTGCCGGAAAGTAACATTTTAAGGGTTAATAAAAAGCGGCCCAAGATACCTTGCCAATAAAGTCCTAAATTCCTAGGATTTCTTCGAAGGGCCGTCGCGTCGTCCTGCAGCAGGCAGCAGGACGACGTGCACAGTTCCTGCTGAGCGACGCACGTAGCAGAAGCAGCAAAATTCGGAATTTTGATCGTCGGGGCGCACACAACACGCGCGCTGCAGGAACCAACGAACCTCGCAGTAGTCGCATCTCAGTCGACCAAAAACGCTCGCAGGAGACGAACGTGCTGCGCCGTATCGAGTGACAAACACGCGACTCCTGCTGACATGATATAAACAATCGGTTTCTTCAATGAAAGTTAAATAATTTTTTCTTGGATTTTTGCCCCCAACCGACATGCTTCCTGCTGAAAGCACCTAGGCGTCAACCAATGATTGCAGGAAATTTTAACGAAGTTTCAGTGATCTTATAAGTGTGTTGTATTTGTTTGAGACAGCGGTTTTAAGGTATTTTTACCCTTAGTTTTTTGCAGGATTTTGTTTGAATGCCTCTATGAAATATGAAAAAAATATTACCTTACATCAATAATTATCAATAATTATTATAGATTTTGTGGTTTATTACATTTATGGCGCTGTAAATTATTTTAGTTTTTGCTCATTAAATTATTGTAACTCCCTTAAAATAAAACCTGTTAAAAATTAATTTTTTACGTAAATAATCATAAAAATTTAACATAAACCAATCAGGTTATAGTATTTAGGCAAAGAAATAGTAATATAGATAATATAATAATATAATATAGAGCAATTTTCCTTTTTCGTTATTTATTTTGAATTATAAGGATCATTATAAAACTAGTTTTTTAAAGAATTTTATTATCTTTTGAGTTTTTAATTGTCTGCATTATTAAAAAAGCCATTGTTAATAATTGCATTTTTTTGCGTATTAGAAAATAATGATGTCCATAAAAAGCAATTTTATTGCAATATTTTTTAAAAACAAATTTTTAATGAAATTTACAAACAAAAAATATAATGTAAATTAATTTTTTAAATATTATTTATATAATTTTTAAATGATTGTGTAAGTAATTTAAATTTATACCTAATTAATAATAATTATACACGGAAAAAAAAATGTTGTGAAAAGTACTACAATTGTAGAATTGTTTAAAAAATACGACCAAGAACAATTTGTTAGAAATAATTTAACAATTTTGTAATAAAAATAAACAACAATTTATTGAAGATATAATTATATATTGTAGTTAAATTACTACAATTTCTGTTTTAAATTAATATTGCTATATATTTTAATAAAATATTGTATTGACTAATGCCATTCTTTATTAATATATAAAAATAATACAGATTTACCGTGCTCCAAAATTGTGTACTTTAAATAAATAATTTATTTAAAGTACACAATTTTGGAGCACGGTAAATCTGTATTATTATACTTTGATATAAATGCTTTAAGTTTTAGTTAATTTTAAAACAATTGTATTAAATAATTAAACATTTTTTTTACAATATGGTTGTTGTAAAATTTAATTTAATTTTTTTTTCCGTGTAGCACAATATTAAATTTCGTTAAATTTAAATTTAATTCTATTGTTAATCATGTTAATTTAATTAGTAGCCAAATTTTAATGAAATCACTCATTAAGTTAATTATATATATTAGTTATTAAATTAAAATATTGTGGTATTGTATTTTACTGGTCACTTTTTCTGCTTTTATTTTACTAATTATAGGGGTTGTTCTAATTTTGTTTTAAAATTAATAGACTTAACCAAATTAATAATTAAAATTTTTACAAAATTTAGTTGACTTTCGTGCCAGTTTAATAGAACAAGACTAGACCTCTTTTTGTTTATTTTGCATTTAATTTTGGATTATTAACAGTTACGTAATTATGAACAATTATTAATATGGGTGTGTAACTTTATTGAAGCAATGCTCTTAATTTTGCACCTAAAGGAAACAACAACGAAACTTTTTTAATCTCAACCAAACCAAATACTAATTGGTGGGTGTTTAAAATTTTAATTACCCATTTCCGTGTATGTTCTATAAACACGGGAGTTTTAAAATAAATAAATAAAACCTTTTAATGGTGTTTAAAAATTAATATTCTCTTAGCTTAACATTTTATTAAAGCACACAAACTGAAATATAAAATGTTAAAATTTTGTTTGATTAATATTTTAAATTAAAACAAGACATGAAGTGTTATGTTATAAAGTGAATTAAAAATAAAAATAAAACTTATTTCGTTTAATTCAACTGCCTAACAAATGATTTTTATTGCTTTATACGGTGGATAGTATTTCAAGTTATTGTTTCGTTTTGCTTTTAAAACTTCCAGACACACGATTCTATTTTTATCGCAGAATAACTCGCAATTTGTCAACTACATGCATATGTATGTACATACATAGAAATAATAAATTGTAACCTCTACCCTCTGCAATATTTTATACGTATAAAAATTACAAAAACAATTTTAGGTTTTTCAAGCGTAAAATCGTTTAAAAATAATTAAATTATTTATTTTTTTATATAAAATACCAAAGGCAAAGTAGATAATAGAAAAATATCCGTTTATATATAAAATGGATAGAATCTCAACATATTTTAAAATATTAATAAATAGTTTTATATTATATTATAAATATTTTTTTAATACATATGTAAATAGCTTGTAATATTTTTTTATTTAATTAACTAAAATACATTAATTACTAAATTTTTAGTCATTTCCAGAATTTAAAATAAATGTGTGGTTTATTTTTTTAAGGTTAAATGTCGTTATATATATTCACCCAATTTTAACATTTGTGATATCTTGTAAATATATTCATCTGTCAAACGCGTATGTATTTTTAAAGTCCGGAAAATGTTAAAAATATCGAGAGAGAAAACTTGGTTTTCGAGAGGAAACCCTGGGTTGAGTTTTTACCGGTTTCTATCTAATCCGAATTCTCTGTAAATATAAATTGTACCTATTAGATACAATAAACATTTAAGTGATGATTTACACGAAAATGGTAAACATTTCAATTCAGTAAAAATCATAAAACTAATAAGTCGTCCAAATTTTAAACAGCATCAAGCATTATTAAAAGGGTTGATTGAGAAAGTCTTCACTTAACGGTAAAATACCAAAAACGGATATTATATTATGTATTTTGTATGTATAATTTTATGTTGCCAAGAATGCGTAGATATATTTTGTCGTTTACTTTTTTAAAATGCAGTTGTCGGCGATTTTTTAAAGAACTCAAATATAAAAGTGTTTGATTTTAAGGTTATGTTTGCACTACGATTATTTTTTGTTGGATTTGTTTCTATCCTGTGGAAAAACATAAAAATGCAACGATTTAGTTATTACATTTACAATAATTCACCATGATCACTTAGATAAAATACACCCAGTATCGTAACTATATATAGTTACGATAAGCATATAAGCGTTAAGTTTCTTAATTATTGATATAAGGAATCATAAATCGAAATCGAGTACCAAACCAAAGTTTTTTAGTTTGTACTTGCAACGCGAAATACAATTAACGTGCGCGATCTAGCTGTGCAAACTTTGCGAACAAAACTTGTCGAGTTAGACTTTTGCCTTTATCTCTTTTGTGAAAAGGCTTATATAAACTTGTATGCTGAAAGCTTTTGAGATACAGAGTGTTGAAGTTCATAAAACTCAATGCTTTTTAATGAGTTTAGATTAAGCGATTAACAATTCAACTTTTTTCTTTTGCATTTTTTGCTTAATTTTCAAGAAAAAAAATTAAATTCATTTTCATAATTTTCTCCGGGGCAAGCAAATAAACGAATTTTATTTTTTTTTGAAAATTAAACATACATAACAAAATGTCGCAAATGTTATATTGTAATATATTGTAAAAGACAAACAAGTTTTTTTGCATATATTTTAATTTATTATTTTTGTAAATACTTGATTTATATACATGTATATATATGTATATACTTATATACATTTTTATATTATATTTTAAAAAGTCTTAATAATATATTGTCTATTTAAAAATGTATTTGTATATTTTATCATTAAAATTATTAACTACCTATGCAATTATGTTGCAATTGCCACATAATAAAAAATGTGAGATAAAAATGTTGTTTATATAGGTTAAGTTAAAACTAAGGTTATTCATTAAAACTTAAAAAAATTATAAATATATAAATATAAATATTTTTTTACGTAAAATTAGTTAAAAATATCTAAAAATAAAAAATTGGCACTACAGGTATTGGTTTGCCCCTAACCTCAAAAAGCACCATAGTTTTAGCGATTTTAAGGTAAGTGCCATACCAAGACCTGTTGAGCCAATTAAATCAGTCAACGATCTTTCCTCATATCTCATCAATTATTTGTGAATTTATGATAAAAACCAGTCTTTAAAATCGTGACGTAACTTTCGATCGGTTTTACTTTTCCTGCCGATCATTCAGCAGTAATATTTAAATGTTAAAAACCAATACAAACAACTTTTGCAGCATCTTTTATTATCTAATTATTACTGGCTGATGATTTGAAGTTACTCAATTAAGTTAGAAACATACATAAGCGATTATTAATTAGATTTATTAAATTAATGAAACAATATTCAAGGTTAATCCAACCATTTGCGGTAAGAGGTTTAGAAAAAAATCTATTTTTATATATTCCAAATAGAGGATTAAACCATTATTTAAAATTAATTAAGATCTATTTTGGTAGCTTTGTTGATAAGCCAAGGGGTTTTTATATTGATTTAATCAACAAAATGTTCCCATGGTTAAATTTTTTCATTAAATTTGTACTTTAATAAATACACATTTAGCCATAAATTACATTAAAATATAAATTAATTCAACACCACAACTTTACTAGGGGATGTTTTGTTTAAACAGTGCACATACGGCATAACCTTAACAGAACGGTATTGAATACATATTTGTTCAGGAAATCAACAGGATAAGTCCACAAATTTAACTAATTAATTTAATTAACACTTCGTCAATATAATAATAACATAATACGGCCTTTGCAAAGTCGTTGAAAAATACGAGAGAATTCTGGGAAGCAGGAAAATATTAGTTAAACTAGTGCAGGAATAATAAACATTCTGCATAATATATTTCTGAGCTTTTAATTAACCGACGAGGCATTCAGACACAATCCTTAGATTTCCTGCGACGCAGGAGTTTTAAAGGGAAAGTCGCAAGGAAAACTGCTGCTGCTGTCATTAGGAATTTTAATAAAAATTGAATTTGGAATATGAATTCACTGTTTAAATAACAAATGTTTTAATGAGAACATTATACTTTGAAATTTATAACTTTATTGTATAAATAAGATGTAATGTATTCAGTTTTAATATGAATTTTAAAAACTTTTTCAAAATTACAATTTTTACAAAGATTTTATAATCAGTTAAACTGCATATTGTTTTAATTTATAATAATTAATAAAGAATTGCAAAACATTAAGATCATTATAATAAAGTATAATGTTTTGCAATAATTATTATAATTTATTATGCTGATCAATTATTTAAATTAATTTTAAAACTGATAAAAATAAAAAATGCCTAAGTGGTACCTTCTTGTAAAAGTAATTATTTTATAAGGCTAAGAAGTGAGTCTTTTTATGCTGTGCTCAAAATTTAAATGCCGACGCGTAGCGGAGGCCTACAGTTGTGCGAAACACAAAAAGACACATCTCAGCCGCATGTCATTTTATCTTCACATGTCTTCACATGTCATGTCATATCTTCGCATGTCATTTTATCTTCAGCAGGCATAATATCGTTTGTAATACAATTATAATACTTAATATAAGTAGAAAGTGAAGTTATATGACAGTAGTGGAATTTTTTTATTGGTCCAAAAGGGTTTTTTACAGCTACAGGCATAATTTAGACCTATCAGGTAGTTTTTTTACCTCCTTGTATGTAAAAAAAACCGTTTAAACAATAAAAAAATCGACTACTGTCAAATCTAATTTAACCTCCTATTGAAGATAATTCTTTTTCCTGCAAACATTTAAAATTTTTAAAATTGAAAATTTAATGAGTTACATTTTAAATGATAAATGAATCATAGCAGGATTTTTAAAATACAGTTTTCCTTGCATTTTCCAACCAATAAAACATATGGTCATTACTATTACCTTTCAGATCACCATAAAAAATCCTGCAAATTTATCACAAAAAAACATTATGGATGCCGCAGGTTATTAAATAGTGTTGTGCAGTTAGTGTTTATTTTTCAATTATTATTTCGACCTGTGAACGTTCAGTGATTTAAAAGTACCAAAATGCAGCATCATCCCGGTTCTTGGTACTTGCCCTGGGGCGTGCCGTTGCAAAAAATGGTCGCAGTACCTATTCACCCCGCAGGACATTTGCATCTGCAACCGCCTGCCATGCACATGCAACCGATGCTTGCAGGACTTCCTGCTCCTTTGGCAACGTTGAGGAGCTTTGTCACCCAGCCCACCATGAGGCAACAGCAAAGAAAGGTAACATTACTTTACAAAGTCTTACTTTATTTAATGATTATATAAACTAGTTTATGAATTCTTGTCTTTACCAATTTTCAAAAATGTTCGAAAAGAGTTTGTTTTAATACTAGATGAATAGACTGAACGTCGCTACCGTGGTTATAAGAAAAAAAAGGGTCATCTATAACTATAAATAAAATTAAAGTGTCTCTGTCCCGTTTTCGTCCCGTTCCGTTCCCATTCCGTTACCTTTTCATTCCCGTTCCATCCCCGGTCCGTTTCCATTTTAATTGGTAAAAAAAGTTGAATTAACAATAACCGCGTTAACATTTTTCACAAATCAGGGTATATGACCACTTTATTTTTCTAGGAAATTCAAATTGTATTTTTCTTTAGTTTTTTATAAATATGTATAAAACAATAACCATTTTTACTGATAAACATTACATTTGAGGCACCCGATTCTGGAGCGACTTGTACTGCCTTCATAGCGTTTGTCTTGACATTGGTGCTAGAATTTTTGTTTTTTTTCTTCGTCTCTTGCTTCATCCTCATTTTTTGGCAAACGACATTTCTTAGTTCCAGAAACCAAATACCCAAATTGAGATAAAAGTCGAGAAGATTTTTGGTAAAAAGCGTTTTTTTCCAACGAAGTTTTTGCAAATTACTGCTGTCTGAATCCAAATTTATATCACTGTCAGCACTGCTGTTATCATTTCGGTTTTCATTTTCAAAATTTGCCTTGTTATGTCACTTTTCACATCATCTTCACCGCTTTCTTTGTCAACTTTAAAATCTTAGTCAACTTCATCTAACAGAGCATAGAGCTCTTCAGGATTATTTTCCATTTTTTGCAAATCAATCATTCTTCTGAAAAGTAATATGAATCGGGCTTGGAAGAGATTTATTAGTTCTATTTGTAAATTCGTAAATTTGTAAATCAGTTTTTCATGATTATTACATAGCCCCAGGCGTGAAAATCAATCAGTGTTGAACGAAACTTACCTGACAATGAAAGTCCCGGACAAACATTTTAACCCATTTAATTGTTTTATATGTATGTATGTATGTATAGTATGTATTCGAATCACTTTCATATATATATCATGAGTTTCTTCTTTACGGTCACGTTTTTTTACGGCAGCAGTAAAATCGGTTTTTATAGCTTTATTTCATCAAGAAAATCATAAAATCAATGGAGTTGCAAACTGACACTGATTCAATTAATTTTATAACATTTCACGCAATTAGTTTAATGATACTAAAACCTGCTCTACGCGATGCAAGTTTTAGAAACTGCATCATTTAACTGGTGCAAGACAAGAGTATAACATTGCTATTAAAAGTGTAAAAGGTATCGGCATCTTAAGGCCCCTTAAGGAAATTAAAAAAAAATAAGTAGGGCTTAGATAAGTGTTAAATGAATTACATAAAGGTTAATATTTGCCCATATAAGCATATTAGTTAATGGAACAAATTCGAAATTTTTGTAAATAAAGGGTGGGCCATGTTTATGTTGAATTATAAAATAGCAATGAGAATAAGAAAAACTGATTTTTTTTTCAACGAATTTTGCTTTATTTGATACAATGTTTCTTCCGATTAAGTATGGAAAATGATTTTATTTAATTGGCCACCTCAGCTGGCTCGGCAGTAGCCCATCCTGGAACACCAATTTTCGAGCACTTTGTCAAAAGTTTGCTGCTCTATTTAGGCAATTTGAGCTTGAATGGTGAATAGGCTTTGTTACGGCGACGTGTGGATTTTCCGTGACCTAAATCCTACAGTTTTGCTTGTTGACATAACCTCCGAGGTAAAAATGCGCCTTATCCGAAAAGATGATTTTTCTTGCAAAATTAGGGTCATCGTTCAACTGGTTTAAAGCCAACTCAGCAAAGCGAAAACGTTGTGGATGGTCAACTTGCTTTAACTCCTGAACAAGCTGGACTTTGTACGCAAACATACCGAGGTCTTTGTGCAGAATCATCCTCAGAGTGGTACGGGAAAGGCCGAGTTGTTGACATCTGCGCCGAGTTGATGTTGACGCGTTCCTGCGTACATTTTCGACCACAGCAGCGATTGCTTCAGGACGAGCATGCGAAACAAGTTTTATGTCCACCAGCATTCCATTTCTGCGCAATTTTTTGATCAAATTTGTAATACTTTGGTTTGACGGCGCCTCATTTCTTCCAAACGCAATTTTCGTGCCGTCTCTGCGATCACAGTCACATTCAAAGTAAGTTTTGAGAATTTCGAAACGTTGATCCAAATTTATTCGGTGCATATTTTGTAATCGGAAGGTTAAAACTAAACCACTGTCAGCAATTCATGGCGCTTAAGTTGAAAGCTTCATTAATAGCACGTAGTTTAAAATTTAACTTATAGATGGCCCACCCTTTACTACCTAAACAAACATTTTTTATATTTTTATTATTGTGCGATTTTTCCCTTAATTTTGTAATTTTGAACCACTGTGCGAATTTTTCCTACTATTTTTTATTTTTGAACTACCAACTGTGCCAATTTGTCCTACCATTTTTTAAATGTATGACAATTTAAAATTTTAATTTTTGTATATGTATGTATGCATAGAAGACTACACACACACAAAATTCTATATTTGTTTATGGAATAAATTCAAATTTTTTGTAAATTATACCTACCATTTTTTATATTTATATTATTATTGTGCGATTTTTTCCGTCAATTTTTTAATTTGGAACAACGGTGCGAATTTATCCTACTATTTTTTATTTTTGAACTACCTACTGTTCCAATTTGTCCTACCATTTTTTTAAATGTATGACAGTGTGGCAATTTAAAACTTTAATTTTTGTATATGGGGCATTCCACGCCAAATCGGATGGTTAAAAAAAAAAATTATTTGATTCCCACAATTTTTTATATTTTTTAGTACTCATTGAAAGAGCTTTCTCAGTAAATTTTGAGATTTTTTTGATCACGGGTTCAAAAGATGTTTTTGGTGTTTTGTTTTTCGCTCATAACTTCTTAAAAAATAGTCCAAATCAAAATGTTCATTCTATATAAAATTTTCGTTTTTAAATGTACTTTTCGAAAAAGAATATATTGAAAATATTTTAAGCGTTTTAAGTCAAGGTTTTTGAGTTTTAGAGTTTAAATCGTGTTTTTAAAAATGTGTCTTCTTCGATTTTATGAAAATTTTTTATTTTCAACTTCTATCTACTCAACAACTATTCAGCCTGGTCCGGTAGTGGGCCTTTCATAATTACTATTTTTTTTCGATTTTTCAAAATTAAAACTTTGATATTATATTTAAATTAAACAATTAAAATACAACTTTTATGTCTCATACAATTTTTTCTATCCTGCTTAATTTTCAAGAAAAAAATTAAAATATTTTATCCGCTCGTGGCCATAATTTTTAAAAAAACTAATTTTATTTTTTTCTTGAAGTTTAAACGAGATAGAAAAAATGTAAAAGACAAAAATAAAACTTATAAAAAAGCAGAAGCGGCGTATTCAAATTTTATTTTGAAATATCTAGTTAGGATTCCCAGCGTTGCCTCTAAATGAACCCAATTAAATGAAATAACATTAAATTAAGCCCAAGCTTTTAAAAAAATAAATATTTTTTAATAACTTTACCACCATGTATCTCAAAAAAGAAGCTTTACAATATACAAGCTTATATTGACTTTTATTCTTATTTTTGTTTTATCGAATACTAAATTTTTCCTATTAATAAAATTTGGGACACCCTGTATATCAAGGGATCAGAGCAACTACCTGTTATTTTGTCCACTTTTCACAAAAGCCAGTACTGGTTGCCAATAATTTACTCGTACACCTGGAGACTTTTTCAACATTTTCTTAGCGTTTCATTTATCTTTAAGATAATATTTTGCTAGAACCATGCAGTTCAATCGATCCGTTGAGAGATGAGCTCTTGAAAGGTTAAAGGTAACTCATTTTTGACCGAAATGATGATAGGGTGTGTTGATCTGACACCCGCGATATTTACATATAATATTAGGGTGGATCTTATTTGCCTCGTGTTCGAATTATACTAGTGTCCCCTCCATTTGTTTTTAAATAAAAAAAAACTTAAATTTTGAGTCCTAACTTGATTTTTACTATTTGCTGTAACGACGATAAGTTTTCCATTAAAATACAGTTTTTTTATCTTCTTATGATATTTTTTAATAAACTTTCTAGAAGTTTTTACACTGCTTATTTAAATTTGTTCTTCTTCGTCTTACGTATTATCTAAAAATATACTATGAACAATTTTAGGTTCTAAAGAAGTAATCAAAGAGATATTTAAGTAACAATTATCCGCTTTTTTGTATGAATCCAAAAAATGTATTACATTTTCCATGTATATATTTTAAACTTCCTAAAATACGAGTACAACGGGACGATAACAACAATTTTCATATTTTCAATTTTCATTTTAATGTCGTAAACAGTGTAACGTTATTACGTTCTAAAATTAGCTGATTGCCAATTCGATTTTCAGTTTTGATGAAATTAGTTTTATCTAATTTCGGATGTTTTGATGTTCAATATTTCGCCCATAACGGATGTAACGAAACACCTATTAATTTATTTTTCGAATGCCGCAAATCGGTCTGCATCGGAATAATTGCTATTTAAATTTGTTTTGTTGAATGGGAAAATAAATAAAAAAATGCATATAAAATATATTAAACAAAATAGGTCATCAAGAAAAAAGGCATCTATAGACAAAAACTATTGTTATTTATGTTATTAGGTCAATAAGTAAGTTTTTTGTGCTCAGTTAAATTAAACGTACAACCATAATTATAATTATTAAAAGTAGAAAGTAAGGTTAGGTAGATCTGATCATGAAGTAATATTATTACTTCTGGAACTGATAAAAGTAGTATTTTTTGATTGGTCCAAAATAGTAAATAATGTATTATTACTTCCTAGGCTGTAAAAAGCTTAACCTTAATAAGTTTTTAATCCCTAAGGCAGGGGCGTACCGAGGCACACTTTTTTGGGGGGGTGGAGACGATAAAAAAACCAACTTATTTTTTTATCGATACTTTAGTAGTAATAGTAAAAATTTTCAGTAGCTTTATCATGAATGTAAAGTGTTGTAAAGTGTAGATAAAGAATGTCTTTACCTACCATTTGCATGCTCTTTTGAAGTCTCTATTTTTTTTATTTGCTACCAATGTTATTGGATTATCCGGATCAGTAACAATTTAAATTTTAACCAAATTTCCACCGTGAATATTTTCCTCGTGCATTTTTTTTCTAGTCCTTGTTAAACACAGATCCACATAATGAGCATTTTACTAGAACTCGGCCCGGTCTAGCTTTCTTTTCCATATTAAAAAAAATTAATTCCTATTTATTGACACTAGTTTTACTTAGCTTAGATAAGCTTTAACTAATTAATAATTTAGAAAGACAAAGCCACGAGGCGGTGCTGACTTTGTACATGCATGTCGCTTGTGTGAAATATAATGTCCATTAATAAAAATAAGGTTGACCAATACAATTTTCTTGACGGTAACGATTATAGGAGGTTACAATAGATTAAAAATTATAATTTTGTAATATGTAGGTAAAGTTTAAAAATTATATTTCATTTTATTTATTGTGATGGGTTGGTTGGTAGGGTAGGTATACCCAACCAACCGACCCAAATACTATAGATTTTGCCAACCGTGTTTGGATTTGGAACCAACTGCCAAGACTTTGGGGGGGGTGACTCCCCCCCCTACACCCCCCTTAGGCCCGGCCCTGCCCTAAGGTATAATGTTTAAATTATTAACCGATTCAAGATAAACAAAAATTAGCCGATGTAGTGTCAAAATCAAAATTTAGTAAGTAGGTAATAAAAAAAATTGTTTCACATTTTACGTTTCATCGATAAAAACGTTTTTATGAATGAATAATTATAGTTTAATAAATCTAATGTAAAGTAAAATTTTCAATCCACATTTTAACAATCTCTTACCAATAACCAATATATCAACTTTTTTTAATTTTTGTAGGACTCATTTCATAAATTCAATTTATTTTTACAAGATCACACGACCAGGTAATTAAACTGTTAACGATGTTACTTAAAGTTTTGAAATAGCTTTCTATACATTTCTTCTATTGCAAAACGTACTAACCTATGTACGTGCGCTAAAGCAATATATTGCAAATATATAATAAGTAAACATTTATTTATTGCAGGTGTTAAAAGTTTTTTAATTAATACTTAATTAAAATATTTATATTTATTTATTTAATTACTTAATCACATTATCTGGGTCAAAATCACCAAGGTGGCAAATTTCAAATTATGTTTAATGATGAATATACCTAGCAGCTATTACTTTGCTAATTAGCTTAAATGATCACTAAACTTGTGTTTAAACAATATTTACGTTGGCCGAGCATAGAATTAATTGCTTCTCTTGTAATTTTATTTTTAAAGTGAACTATCGCTGAAAACAATCATTCCGGGAACGTTTTTGTGAGGTTTATAATAAAATTAAAATATAACTTAGTATTTCTTTTTTACCCTTTATAATAGCAAAAGTATGTAGTTAATAATAAGAAATTAAAAAACTCTAAGAAAGTTGCAAATAAAATCATTTAAAAACAAAATATCCCTACAAATGAACCTATGGGACTATTTTTTTGAATTAAATTATCTAAATATGCCAATATCGCTGACTTACATATAAATAAACTAGCTCTAGGTATAAGAAGTCCGCCTGTTTTAATATTTCCAAGGCCTATTTTTAATATCTAAAATAATAATGTGTTATCTGTGATTTTTGTTATGTTCCCGGAAATGATAAGGAGTTCACGGAATGATGGGTGTGTTATCTGAATGATGATATAGATACACTTTAGGTTTATGAAATCATAAGCAAAATTTTTTGATGCCATACTTATTTATTTATTTGGCATGGGGTTTATTCTTAACAAAAATGTAACTTTAATTAATTCTTTGCAGTCTTTTAATGGATCTACACAGCCAAGTACAATTCTTAATAATCATATTAAACTTTTATCTCAATGTTTATAATTAAACCAATTAAACATGTACCTATATTTAAATTGAACTTTTAAACAAAAACAAGCTTTCGTAATCATAATTATTAAACATCAATAATATATAATAAAAAAAAACAAACATTAAATCATCCTCATCGGACGATGATGAGTAATAAATGGTTTTTATAAATGCTCCGTTTCTTTAATTTCAGCAAATCTTGTACATCAGTTGTATCCATATGCTCGTTCGGTTCAGGAGACTCCCTTGAAAGTATTCCCAAATTTATTGGTTCAGAGTTCGGATATAAACTGCCAGATAACGCAGACATTTTCAGTTCTTCAGTTTATTCGTTCGGTTGCGGTATTGTGATGTTGGATTATCGAGTAGATGTGAAGGATGTTAATATATTTTTTTCCAATATGGTTTTAGGATCGGTTTCATATGAGCCGATATCACATGGGCTTTATGATCCAAATTTTCACTCAGGGTAGCAAAAGATCCAGATTGCAAACCATTGTCAACGTTTCGTATATAATATACCCCTGTATGAATAGATAATTGATTTTTTGCGAAATGAGTCAACTGGATTTTATTTGCGTACTGACAAGTTTATTTGTATCATTACCTACCTCTTCTTCAGTTAAATTTTCTTTCAACTCTTTTTTCCGTTTGTTGTAACTATAAATGCCATACAGACAGTGATGGGCACGTACCCGGTATATACACGATTTAATATTTGTATAAATACCCAAGGTATGAACTATGTACTAGTGATGAGCACTATCGATAGTTGATAGTTCAGTTTACAATAGTGCTCACCACTGGTACATAGTACATAGTACATAGTACATACCTTGGCTATTTATCCAAATTTTAATAAATCGTATGGTTTACTATACTTAATAATGCTGTCTTCTTTTCTCTGTATTTTTATGCTTCGTTCCAAATTTTTCTCTGCTTTCGCTTTTTTCTCTCGGCCATCTCAGCAATGTTTTTAACTTTCTTTCAGCTTTTTTTTCTGATAGTATGCTCTATCCTTACTCCTTTTAATGTATCTTTCTTCCTCTGTTATCTTATCTAAAAACTTCCTTTTTCTGGCATTAGCTTTTTCTGTTTGCTGCATGTAAGCTAAACTATTTTTTATAAGTTGTCTTTTTGGACGTTTTCAATTTTTTTTAACTTCATGAGATTCCATATTTCCTAAAAAAATAAAACATTTATTTAAAACTATTTAGGACAACATACACTAAATTAATTGACAAAAAGTAGTAACAGTCATTTCAAGAACGCTCCGTCAAGTCCGGGGACGTTCCCGAAATGACCGTTCCCAAAATGACTTTTTCAAATAAATGCGCCCTTATTAGACGAAAGTCATCTTGACAGCCATGTTTGGCTTGTTTAAGGTATATTATTTAAGGTTAATATTTGTTATAAACACTATAAAACGTATTTTTTCAATATTACGAGTTAATAAAGGCATTCCCGATATGATGATATATTTATGTACGCTCTTTAATTATGGGATCGAATGGTACTTACCACTTATTTTTAATTATTTTGGCGAAAAATTCACTTGACATCCACGTTGTTTACATCTTTCACTACAACTGTGCCATACACATATTACGGCTGCGTTCAAAAACGTAATTTTTTTGGACAATCAAAACAGCGTTCACTCAAATGATGCTTACATTGTTGGACATAATATTTTGACTTGATTTTCTTTCACTTCTTTTTTTTCTTTAATAATGCTTGTAATTACGTGATATTAGATAAAATTGAATTGAATAAGTAAGAAAAACTGTTAAATTTATTTTATTTTATGATTATTTCAGGTGTTTGTTTCTAAAGATTGCTACTTAGGACGCGTTCTCGAAATGATTTTTTGTACTTATTTATATAAATAATAATGAATATGGTTTACTTTTGAACTATATTATATTAGGTATAGTTAACGTAAACACACTTAAGTATTTACAAAACTTGATTTGTTAAAGAAAAACTGAATTTAGTCATTTATTTGCTGGTACAGCTAATTTTCCACCTTGGTGATTTTGACCCATCTAATTAATTCTAGATTTTAATATAAAACATATATTTAGCTCTATTTGCTTTTATTAAGTTTGAAAAAAACTATGTTAAAATATTTTACAAATTTGACTGCAACTTTAAATATTAGGAATTTATCCACTGTAATAATGCAACGTAATTTGTAGGTTTTTTCAAAATATGATCAACACATGCGATATAAACCGCAAATTGAATATATGAA